TTTCCCTCTGTTCAAATTAAAAATAAAGTTAAATAAAATAACTTTTAAAAAAGTAATAAAAAATGGAATTAAATAATTCTTTAAAAAAATGTGATTCAGTGTAATGTAAATGAGATTATGATAATAATAAATTTAAAAAAGAAAAAAGAAAAACAGGATGTGTCCTTAGCTGTGTCCCTTAACCCCATGTAAACCCCTGGGCCCCATATTCAATATCCCGCAAAGACCCACCACTCCCAACTCTGGTGTTCGGATCACAGGGGCACGAGGTCAAATGGCCCCAGGCCTAGTCACCTGTGGGGCCCTGAGCCCCTACCTTAATCTTCGTGAAGAACTGCCGGAAGCAGGCGCGCGGGTCCACCTTCAGGCTCTTGGCCAGCTCCAGGATGAACTGCATGACTATGGTCTGATGGGCCACCTGCTCCATGAGCGCGCATTTCTGCCGGAGAGCACTGGACGTCACGGTCTCTGGGCGGCGCAGGCTCCGCCCCACCCCGGCCGGCTCCACTCACCTCCTCCACCTCCAGATCAATGCACCAGATGACCAGGTAGTTGGCCGTCTCCTCGCACACCAGGTGGACGTTGTCCGACAGGTACTTCTGGCTGTCATCCCAGCGCCGCAGCATGCCTGCGGGGAGGGGTCAGGTGCCGCAGCGGCCCTGGAGGCCAGGGGCCAATCCCCGGGGCGCCCCTCGCTCCAGCCCAGACCAACTCACCGAAGTGCTTGATCTGTTTCTCGTACTTCTCCACGAAGGTTTTGTGTTTCTGCTCCCTCACCTCCTCCGAGTCCTCCTCCGCCTTCTCGGGCTTGGTATTGACCATGCTCTGTGGTGGGGCGAGAAGGGGAGTGGGCTGGGGCATGGCTGCGGGGCGCCGGGAGCGGGGCCGCGGGGGCCTGGGCCGCAAAGCCCAGCCCATCTGGTGGGGTGTTTCATCCATCTGACCCCCTAACCCTGTCCCCCTGCCAGGGGGACCCTTCTCCCCGCTTGTCCACACCCTCCTAATCTGACTTGACCTGCGTGGCCTTCCCCTTCCCTCAAGTTGCGTGCCAAGCAGCCCCGCGCATGCGTGCTGCTCCCCGTGCGCCGCCCAGCGCCCCCCAACGCGCACCACCCGCGCATGCGTGCCGGCCTCCCCCACCGCCCTCCCGCCCGCGCAGGCGCACACCTTGCTGAAGCCGTCCTTGCTGAGCGTGTCCACGTTCCAGGGCATGCTCTTCTCCTTCTTGCGCATCTCCTCCAGCTTCTGCTCCCAGCTCCGCTCCTCCTTGCGCAGCTGCTGGGCCTCGGCCTGCAGCCGCTCCAGCTCCGCCTTGGCGCCCTCGGCCACCTCCAGCTCTTTCAGCTTCCGCTGGCACTCGGCCACCTTGCGCTTGCACTCGCGGCAGCCCCTGTCCAGCTCCTCCTTCTCCTTCTGGAACTGCTCCATGCGCTCCACGCGGGCCTGCGGGCAGGGACCAGGGGTGGCCGTCATTCTGGGATACAGCCTGCCCCGACTGGGCTGCACCCCAGCCCGGGGGCCTCCAGTCACTGCCGGGAAGACGGGCCCAGGAAACATCCACACCAGCCTCCGGGCTCTGGTCGCCAGCTTCCGTCCTCACCTCCTCACCCACAGGTGTCCAGCACACGTGCATCAGGACAGTCCCGCCTCTGCTCAGAACCCCAGGGCAAAGCCCCAGTCCTCCCTGCAGCCCACACGACCTCGACCTCGTGCAATCAACCCCATCACCTCTGCCCCACCCCTCTTCCTCCAGCATGACCTCACTTCCCCGTAGCACAAGTTGTCTCTCTTCTCTCTCTCTCTCTCTTTTTTTTTTTAAATATTAATAGTTCTTAGGGGACCAGCAGGTGGTGTGGAGGTTAAGGCGCTGGACACTCCCACATGGCTGACTAGGATACTGGACACTCCCACATGGCTGATTATAGTTCGAGTCCCAGATCTGGCGGCTTGCTTTCTCTGTCTCTCTCTTTGGTCAAGTTAAAAAGTAAATTAAATGAATAAATAAAAATGAAATAAAAATAATTCTTTAAAAAAATATATTAATAGCTCTTGCTGGGACCAGCAGATGGCATAATGATTATGCTGCAGGACTCCTACTTAATCGACCATGGTTCGAGTCCTGGACATGACTTACACCTCATGCTGGGTACACGTGCGGACATGCCTCAAATCCTGAGAGAATGGAAAAGGGATTGTGGCGTGGTTATTCCACGCCCCCACTTCCCAGGAGGTAATTTCTCACTTTCTGTCTCTCCGACGAGTGCATGCACCCTATAGCAAAAATCTCTCTTAAAAAAAAAAAAAGTTCTTGCTATAGGGTGTATGTGCTCACCGG